TCAGAGAGCTGGGATGTGATTTGGGGATGCAAAGCAAAAACTTGAGAGATTTTGGTAAAGCTCTTTCTAAAAAATTCTTTGTTAATAGTAAAAATATTAACAAATATTAAATACATTTTAATATTACAAATATTAAATATTATTGCAAATATTAAAAAATATTTGTAATGGGCGAGTAGAGGAAGAATAAGATTAAGAAAAGTTAATATGAAAAGTAATGGGTATTTCCCGTTGCCTGCCTTTCTCCGCTTCTGTACATCAGCATTAATTCACCTTCCTATTGATCTCCCTACTTTTCTCATCCCTACAAAGTTCTTCAGCTACATCCATAACTCTTAGCGTTTCTCCAAGCTTTAKATCTCAGTCAGGTCCTTCTGAAATCTGCTTTGCTTGTCCTCTGTAGCATGTAGGCCCAGCTGATGATTTACCTTTACGCAGATAAATCAGCCCTTGCTTGTGCTCATAAATAAACTGGGAAGCTTGGTCAGTGCCCAAGGAGGGTTTTCAGTTTGAGCAGGTTTTAGGCAACTTGGAGATGAGAAGATTCCCTTCTGTCAACGTGATGTTAGTCAGCGCACTGAGAACTCCGTCTTAGGCACGGGGATTTTTTTGCTTAGGTAGGACTGCGTTTTTATTCTTGTTTAGGTAGAATCTTTAAGGACATGTTAATGGGCTAATAAAAATGATTTTTTTCTGGGTGTGTGGTTTTTGAAGATCTCTTCAAAGTTGTCTAGCGTTTGCAAGTGCCTCCACGCAGCCAAGTTCCAGCCCACAAGGAGAGCAAGCCTTGAAAAGAGGCTTTGATTTTCCCTCGGCAGCCTACACAAAAGGGCCACAAAAAGGCTTCRTGTATCAAATCGAGCAACTCTTTGAGAATCGAGGGATTTTTTTTWAATGAAGTATTGCTTTAATCTTATAGTCGAGTTGGGTTTTAGCCTGAGTTCAGGCAGAGTCTTCAAATGTCAGGGTGTGATGTAGGCTGCCCCTGAAGGCTGGGGAGCTCGGCGAGTTTTGTGGGCTCCTATGTCAAATTGCAAACCTTGTTGGCGCTGCAACAATTATTATTAACAATTATTAACAATTATTAACAAAGGACACTCAGATGTACACGGCTGTGTATACACGTTTATAAAATTAGTTGCATGCAGCTGAATTGCTTTATTTGGTAAATTTAATATAGGAGTTCAGTTATGGCTGTCTTCTTTTTTGCAAATGGTGAGCGCTGCAGTGGTTTGGATTTGCTTGCTGCAAAGTTAAAGCCGTCAGCGGGTTTATGCATTTCAAAGGCTGAGGCAGACAGTCAAAGACCAAAACTATTCCTAAAACAAACAAAAAAAAGGGACTTAGAATAGAAACCTTGGATTTTGTGGTGACAATTTAAACTTCAATTTGTGAATAAAGGGTGTATTTTAGTACCGAGATGTGGTTAGCTGCAGAGAGGCGGCGTTTTTACACACTYGGTGCTTTTAGCCTTCTTTCCTTTTCCATTAAGCTCTCTCGCACGCTATCAAGCCGCCGTGATTGTCGGCCTTAAGAAAACAAAACACTTAAAAACTTCATGAGTTGCCTAGTAGTAGAAATAAAAACAGAGGTTTATCGGGGTTATGTGCACGGCAGAGGAACCATGTCCTGAGTCACTCCTAACGGCTGCTCGGGTTGGGTGGCTTGGGGCATTCCGGATATTTTTCCGCAGAAAAGACTCAGAGCTGCTTTAGATGAGAGGTGGTTTCCCAGAACACATCCAGCCAAGTTTTTCAYTGAGGGCCACGGCACTTTGGGGCTTAGGAGCAGCACGGAAGAGACAACTGATGTCGGCCTGGTTGGCCTGGGAAGATGTTTGGAACTTGGAACGTGCTGTTTTGCTCTGCAGCCTGCTGAAAACTGGTTGTCCAAATGGACAAATTCTTGCTTTGAAAAACGGCCGGCAAACCAGCATGCACAGGAGGCTCCTGTCATGTGTGAGAGGCAGAACAAGCCCAATTCATGGCGAGGTTGTTGGGTTTGCAGGGCTAGGCCAGGGAGGCTTCGAAGCACCTTCGGAAATGTTTCCCTGATAGGGGAAACAGGCATCAGATTGCACCTGCAATTTGATTAGGCATCAAATTGCACCTGCTTTGCAGCCATTTCACTTTGAAATGATGTCCACGAGCTTCACTTTTGTTATGCCTGTTATTTTTTTATCAAGACCTTTATTCTCCTCTTCCCCTAAGGAAACTTCCATTGTTGTCTCTTTTTGCTTCTATCTTCAAGCAAACAAACGCGCAGTGCTTTTAATGCTGATGGTAAATTGATGGTGCCTATCTCCCTGATTAAAGACGGTCCACACCGATGTAAATATTAAGTAAAGCCCTCTCTACGTCATCAGCCTGCTAGCTCGTGTTTGCCTTCTGCCAGAAAGGTAAAACAAATACATCCCGGAATCCAGCAGCATATTTGTACAAGCACAAATGATTAACCTGGAGTCGCAGGAAGAAAGGCCAAGGATGGCTGAGAGGGGTATTTGCCAGCAGCTTCCCCGTGACCTTCCCTCTTTCCAAACGGAGAGGGGGATACGCTGCTGTTTTCCTCAACATCAAGGGGTAAATTGAAAGAAAAGCATCCCGTTCCTACTCGGTGTTTTCCACTCGATTCCTGTATTCTGTGCCCCAAAACACAGCTGTTTTCCACAGTGTTCTTTGGAATTGCCTGCAGGGACTTTGCACCGTGCCGTAGGGTGGGATCTACTGTGGAATGACGCGCGTGGAGATGGGAGGACAGCGACGGCAGGACCGTCTCGCGGATCAGCAGCCACCTTCAAGGCTTGGCAGGACCCTGCCCAGCAGGGCTCGGCTTTGCAGCCTGCTCCCGTTTCCCTGGGGCGGTCTGCAATGGTTCCGTGCCCGGGCTGCCTTCCCAGGCCTCCTTTGGGGAAAATTTGGGGTTTGCTGAAGCAGCCACTCGGTGCTTCCCATAATCCGCCCGCTCGGGCAGCGGCTGCCGATGATTCACGGCTGCTTTGGGAGCCGGCTGGACAACCAGGCCCTGGCACAGGATCCACTCGACTAATTCAACTAACGTCTGCACCGAAGACGTCCCCGGGCTGGATCCTGACACTGTYGAAGGCTTCGTCCTCCTGCCAAATACGTTTTCGCACCGGGCTTTACCCCAGCTGCCTAATTTGGCTTTTGAAATTATCTCTATAATGTCAGATACTTTTAAAAGCTAATAATAATAATAAAAAAAAATCCCATCCTTTTATAAATATTATAATCTGGATGTAAAGGCCTTGTTTCGGCAGTGCTTGGGAGGGGAGGCATCTGCTGTATTAAAAGGGATTCCTTCGTGCTGCACAGCAATTCCCGGCGCGTATAAACAAGTACTCGGTCAAGCTGGAACAGGTCGGCCGCCTTTCGGGAGGCAGAATGTAAATGTCCAAGCCTGGCAAACCAGCAGCTTTTGCAGCTCTGCAGCAAATGCACTGAGGTCTCTCCTGCTTCCAAGTCATAAATATTACCCCCCAAAATAAACCCAAAAGCCCTGGACTGCACAAAACCAGCTTGGTGCAGGGTGCCAGCGTCGGCCTYGCTGCGCCTCCAGTGCCATTAAAAACTCTGGAAGCCCTTGGTGCTAAATGGGGCCAAATTCAGGGATTTCAGGCCTGTGGGAGCAGCTGTTGCTTGAYGCTTGCAGTCCCACGAAGCTCCTCAGAGGCTGCATTTAGGAAGAAAATCCAGCCTCAACCCGGCTTGGCAGAGCAGGCAGGGCTGTCTGCCCCGTCCCCGCCGTCGTTTCCTCTCTCAGGTTCCCATCGCCGACCTTTGTCACCTGTTTCTTTCCTGGAATTTAGAAATCCACAGGTTTCCAGCCCTTAAAAGTTCTTTTTTGACTTCGGCGAGTTTCAGGTGCAGGTAGAGGAGCAGAGGCGACGGTAGGTCTCGAGCAGCCCCGTGCTAAAGCTCTGTCCAGGAAGTTTCTTTCAGCTACTGGCTGTTGTGTCAATATTTTTCTTACTGGGAAGAATAATAAGTTTTGCAACTGGAAATAGAGGGTTTCGCAGGCTGCAATTGGAAAATTGGTGACTGTACAGCTCTAGAGTAGACCAAAAGCTGTTGGCAAAGGGAAAAGAATTAAATGAAGAATATAATTTTTCATTAATAAATGTAAAATCTTAGGCTGCTAGTGAGCTCCAGAAAGCACACCTGAAATGTAGAATAAATGTAATATTTACAAAGACTATACGCAGAGTAGTTCGCATTTGGGTGGAATAGTTTTCCAGCTCAGTAATGTGTTAGTATTTGAGATGGGAAGTGGCATGAATTATTTGGATTTTTTTTTTTAAGAAAAGCTCTTCTGCAAACAGAAATCTTAATTTTAGCTGCTATCAAAACACTCCAACTCTAATTTTACCCGTATTCTGTGTTTTCCTGGCATTTCTTTTTCTTTAAATCACTCGCAACTGTAAATGAGAATTAAGCTTTGCTCGGTTTTGCTTCCCTGGAGGAGCTGGCCATGATTTTGTGGCCCTGTTTCAGTTCAGATGCAATTGCCTTTACCCTGCAGATTTTCATTTTCGGCCCGCCTTTAAAGCGGTGCAAAAGGAGCTTTCCCCGATTATGCAGTTTGCCAGCGAAAGAAATGAGGACTTTTTAATCCCTACTAAAAATAGTTTCCTGTTGCAGCTCCTTTAATTATTACTAAAACAAAGGATTAATTTTTTTTTTTTCTGGGTTAAGCAAGAGCCCCTTCGGTCTGTTTGCTTGCCTGGGGTGTAAGCTGGTTTTTATTCTAAAGCTATTTTAGTAGGTGGGAGCGTTGCTGCAGAGCCGAGCTGAATTCTAGTACATGTGTAAAAATGAGGCTTTTTTGCCCYTGCCTTTCTGCTGCTAGTTGTTTCTGCTACTCCTTATTTTTTTCTAATGCAGTTTTTGCTGCTGTTTCTTCCCTTGCCCTAATCCRGAGTTAGTGCCTGTATGTAAATACCCCTAGAGAAGCTGAGCTGAGATTTGCTGGGGTCAGATGAGATGGGCACTGTAGGCACTGTGGGACATGAGAAATGGCCTTTTTAGTATTTATTTTGAGCATTCATTCTTGTGCTGAGAGATCCCAGCTTGTTGGGGAAGAAAAAGAAAAAAACCCACCACCTTGAAATTAGGTATTTCTTTTATAGTTGTATTCCTGYCTTGGATGCCAGTTTTAGATAACTTAGAGCTCTAATGTTTTCGTTTCTGGCTCTGCAGTTATTTTTCCTGGCCTGTTCAGCTTAATGGATGCTGAACACCGTGAATTGCTGAGATTGTTCTGAGCAGCCCTTATTGAGAAGCAAACTCGAGCTTGAAGCTTGTAATAGACTTAATAGAAATGGAGATGGATGCGAGTTTCCTGATGTAGTTTCTACTTAAACTACCGGGCTCTTTAGAGGATTGGAGAGAGGGGRATGATGGCTCATTTGTTTCCTTTCCAAGAAGAAATAAAAGTATTTATTGATGAGAAAATAGTTTTTGCTGCATTCTCCGAAATGGAGTCTTCATTCTTATGGCAAGAAGTTTTTATTATTTGAGAGCTGCACACGGCTGCTTTAGTGCCCACCTCTAACATTGTCTGTTTATCACGTATCTTTTGTATGCAAAGGCTGAACCTAGTGGCAGGTTGCACTCTATTAAATCAGGCTTATAACAGGGGTCATGTTGCAGCACAAGTCTTAGTTCAAGATCTCTTTAGTCCAAAGACTAAAATGCTCCCGAAACAGCAACAAAATTCCCATTTAGCTGCTGTGGAAAACTGGGAGGGTTGATGAAAAGGGAGGTTCATTCAACTTTATGTCTGTTGTAACAGCAGAACAAAAGCAGCAGCGGAGGAATTAGGCTCTTTATGTAAATGCTTATTCCAATCGCAGATAACGAAAACGATGCTTACGTTTAATGCTTGTTTCTGTTATTCTGAATTAAGATCGGGTATCATCGGATCTGCTGTGATTGCTGGGGAGTTTTTTTTAGAAATCTCTAAGATTTGTCTATCTGACRTTTTGTTTTGCAGTATTATGTGCCAAGAACCTCGCAAAGAAAGATTTCTTCAGTAAGTATCTCCTGGTTGCTCTTTCTGCTCTGGATCAATCATGTTTATTTGTGAATTGTGTCTCATGGTCACCGCTCATTTTCCACACTTCATCTTCACATCTTTTGAGAACTTTGCATTACTGTGTGAAGTTGCATTGCCCTGAATTGTGCTGGAGCAACAGAGACGTCGGGCTTGGAAAGACCAAGAGGCTCCTAAATTCTGCTTGCGGCTGCCGAGGCTGCAGGTTGCTGCTCGCGACGCTCCGTGCGGGCGGCCGGGAGCATCTGTCTGGTGGCCAAGGGCACATGTGTCCCGTGTCCCGGTGCCTCAGGCTCGATGCTCCCTCGAGGACGGATGAGGAGTGCCCACCACCAGCACACATAACGGCTCCAGTGTGTGTAACCCACCAGTTTGCAAGCTTTGCTTTCTAAAACCTCCTGCTATTGCCCACAGATACAAGTCCATATGACAGATGTACATTACCTTTTATCAAGGAGCTCATTCCTGTATTTTGGTTTTACTAAAATAATTTTAGCCCAGCAACTACTTTACTTTCATTTGGAGTAATCCTTTCCCCTTCCCCACAAGCTCACACTAGGATTAACCTGGAAGAAATAAACTACAACAAAAGAAATATCCCATTTTTTTTTCCTTTTCCCTTCCGCAGGACTTCCTGACCCATTTGCAAAAATAGTTGTTGATGGGTCAGGTCAGTGCCATTCAACTGACACTGTGAAGAACACATTGGACCCCAAATGGAACCAGCATTATGATCTGTGAGTTGTTCATTAAACCATAAATAAAAATATTCCAGAGAGTTAGCTAGCAAATGAAATGCCGAGGTGGCAAAATCACTGGAAACGCTTGGTTTCTGCAATAATAAAAAATTACCTGCATGGAACCAGATACCTCTTGTGTTTATAGAAGCAGCTCTTTGCATGTTAGGTGCAAATGGTTAGTGTAACCTGAGCCTGGAGCCGGGCGGTCAGGCTGTTCATATGTCCTGCCCTCATTGTATTGATTTATTTTCTTCAGAATATTGTAAACAAATTTCAAAAGGTTTTAGCTCCTGGACCACACAAGTTTTAATGAGGCTGTCTGTGGTTAGTTGGTGCTGCAGCACTATCTGTTTTACATGCTGCGTGTAGCASTGTAATTCATTAATAACACAAATCCAGGCTTAAGCACTTTGGTATTTAAAATTGCTCAGCGTCACCAATGTACTGAAATGCATCAGAATTTTTTACTAAGTCAAGCCTAAATACTGTAGATTAAAAGGGTTGCTTTTTTTTTTCCTGAAATTAATTTTCTAATGTGTGTTGTTCTAGATATGTTGGGAAAACCGATTCCATAACCATCAGTGTATGGAACCATAAAAAAATCCACAAGAAACAGGGAGCTGGCTTCCTGGGGTGCGTCCGACTCCTCTCCAATGCCATCAGCAGGCTAAAAGATACTGGATGTAAGAGGAATTCCTACGTGGCACAGCCAGCGAGTATCTGTAGTGCTTTGTATTTATTCGAGCAGGGAAGAGTATTCTTCCCACCCTTCCCATGTTTTCCTGACGTTTCCAATTTTCATTTGCAGACCAGCGTTTGGATCTATGCAAACTAAATCCCACAGATACTGATGCTGTGCGAGGCCAAATAGTGGGTAAGAATATTCTAGGTTAAACATTGATCATCTTAAGTATCTGCGCAGTTCCGAAAAATGCAGTATTGAAAATAAACCCTTCTGTAGTCGGTTCTTGTTCCGTTGCCTTTTTGTGTTGTTTCTGATAAATTACATTGCCTGAAAATTTTCGATCTCCTGCTGTATAGTTGTTTGTTTTCTCTCTGCTGATAATTGGAAAGGATACGAGGAAGGAGGAGTGATTTTGGCCAGGCTTCTAATGCAGCTTTGGAACGGAGGACGTTCACGTAACACTAATGCTATTTATTTAGGCCAAGGTGACCATGTTACCTGTGTAACGACACCCAGAGACATTCTGCAAGCTGCTGTTTTGTTCTTGAACTTCTTTTTATTCTTTTATTCTTTTATTCTTCCATTCTTGATCTTTGCCTCGTGTAGCCCGTGTGACTCCAGCAAGGTTTTGTCACTGGTGGCACTGCTTGTAATATCCCTAATCTACCTCGCTGAAAAATAAAGCTTTTCAGTAGAGAGCTGTCTGCATGTGCTTGGCAAAACCCAAATTGTCGCCGCTATGGTGACATCTAGTGGTGAGTAATTTTAGGGTTACCTTTCTGGATCCACCTGAAATATCCGTGTAGAATCCTCGCATATTTGGTAATTTCCAGAAAAGACTGATAAACGATCTGCTGTCACTCATAGCTGTAGTATCGCTTAATAGTTCATCATATATGATCACTCCTGAGCTTTTGTTTGTTTTTAAGACATATATTCATTCTTTTCCTATTAATTTTGGTTTATTTTTTTCTTCTTTCAGTCAGTTTACAGACACGGGACAGGATAGGCACGGGAGGCTCTGTCGTAGATTGCCGAGGGCTTTTGGAGAATGAAGGGTAAGGATGGCTTTCTTTGCACTTGATTAGAGGAAAAAATAGAAAGGTATATATATATATATATATATATATATATATATAAAAACCATAATATTATATATATAATATATAATATATATGACATATATGCACATATAATATATATATCTATATAGAAGGTAGCAATATAATGAACACAAGAGAAATGTTTAACATCACTATGACTAAAGTGTCTTGTCTGGGAGTATGTAACAGATACTGAAGTTATGCTGGATGTTTACCTGAAAAAAATGCATGTATAACTTAAACTAGGTAGGACTTGGTATTTTTTTGTGCCAGGGCTTCTAGAACTGGTRTAGCTAAGAAATTTGGGTCACAGAAGTGTACAGCTATACAAGTGTGTAGAATGTAGAAGTGTCAGCAAGAGGGATGTCTTATGGTAAAAGCTGCAGTACTTGAAGTAATGAAGTCCCTAGAAAACTAGTGACTTCCACATTCACTCCCCTGTGATGGGAACTCTTGAAGTTTCCCTCTTTCCAGAACGGTTTATGAAGACTCCGGCCCGGGCAGGCCGCTGAGCTGCTTCMTGGAGGAGCCGGCGCCGTACACGGACACTACAGGGGCTGCGGGCGGCGGGAACTGCCGCTTTGTGGAGTCGCCCAGCCAGGACCAGAGGCTCCAGGCCCAGCGGCTTCGCACGCCCGAAGTCAGAGGCCACGTGCAGACACCTCAGAACCGACCGCACGGCCACCAGTCGCCTGAGCTCCCGGAAGGCTATGGTAAGAGTTTCCCAGCACTGCACAATTTGCTCACGGTTTTCCGAAGGTTTCAAAGAACAAAAACCTCCCTTTTTAATACCTACATGTGGTTTACTTGTTAAAACATGCAGTATTCATGCACAGCTAATGGTGTGCTGTTTGGGAAAGGAGTTAAGCGGTGCAGATGTGAGTTTGAGACTGCATAATTAGCAGTTGGCTACTCCAGGATGTAGAGAAAGGTTGATGGTAAATTAAACATGAGTTTGTGCTGTGATGCTGTTAGGGAAAATTCACTGCTAATCTTGGCTGTGTATCCAGGGAGAGCGAATGTAAAGAGCTCTTTAAACTAGAGCAGTAATGCTATTTTTTCCTTCCCCCTTGGCATGCCATGCAGGTTTGAGCCCACATTTGAGGAAAGATCAGGAAAATAAAAAAGCAACAAAGAAGCTGGTAGTAGGCAAGAAGATTAGGGAGGAAAAGCTTAAGAAAAAAATAGATCCTGGCATGCCACATCTAGGAGTAAAGAAATCAAGTTCTGGGATTTGCGTTGCTTCAAAATCTAAAAATAGAAATACAGATTAAAACATCGAAATGCAAATTTAAACATATTGGTATTAGATTTGAGTTTAAAAAAAAAGTTACATGCAGTTAAGTTTATGAAAGACGTAAGTGTTTAAGGCAAAAGTAGCCCACACTGCAAGAGATCAAATGGGGTAGCTTAAATATTTTCTCCTAGCTCTGACAGAACAATAATATGCCAATGGATTTAAATAATTTGTTTATTCTTTTTTTTTATGGATTTGTAATTTACAATATCTTCCCTTTTGTAGAACAAAGGACAACGGTACAGGGACAGGTTTATTTTTTGCACACGCAGACTGGAGTTAGCACTTGGCATGACCCCAGGATACCACGGTATGTATTTTTAGTTACAGAGCAGGTATCTTTTTTTATGTATTGCAATAAGCTTAGTCTTTAAAAAGAAAAATCGATGAAATGCGGGATATTCAAGGATATGAAAGATAAGGTTTTCAGCATCAGGAACATTAGGTGGATGCAGCAAAGGTCATAGTTAGCACTGTCTTGTTTTAGTTGAAGGTGGTTTCCCCTTCCATCAGTTTCCAAGAGGGTAATCAGTGGAAAAAAAAAAAAAAAATGGGCAATTCAGCACAGATGTAGGTTAAAACTTGGTGTAATCAGATGTCTAAAATACTTTCAGCTGCACAGCTGATAGAAACAAATGGTTACAATCATAATCTCATTTTAAGCAGCCTAACAAAGGCTGGCTGTCTCCCTGCATCCCCCCTGCTGCTTGTAATGACTCTGACACTGATGAAGCCTTTGGTATAAAAGTGTTTTCTGCCTCTTATAAAGCCTTTCAGTTTCCTGTTTTATGCTGAGGTTGAGTGGTTTCACATAGATAAGAAATCGATATAAAATCTATAGATTTATAGAGTAGTGTTTTCCACCCTGGATAAGAGCTGAAGCCAATGTCAACTGTCTAGAGAAAATTTCACTTAAGAACAACACTTTTTCTGTCTAACCAATAACCTTGCGGGGAACCCTCCTTTTCTTGCCAATCTTGGTGTCTTTCCTGGGCTTAGCAGCTGAGACCTTAAGCATCTGAAATTAGGTAGGTGTAAATATGTTTTATGTATTGAATTCAAACATTAACAGAAAGTAAGTGAATACCTTTAATAGCACTTCCGAAGAATGATTCCTAAACTATCTAGCGTGATAGGGTTGAACACATCAGTCCTTACTCTCAAAGATTTACTAGTCAGAAAGTTAGGATTCTGACCTTACTAATTGGAGATGAGGTTTTTGTTGTGATTTTGTTGGTTTGTTTTTTCAGGCTCTTACCATGTGATCATTTTAGTTTCTCATGTCTTAGCTGCACAGACAGCTGCATGGACAGAGGCCTTGATTTCTTAATCATTCGGTTTGGTGCATGTAGATCACGCTTGTGCTAAACGGAATTTTTCTGTGAAATCTTTGCTATGTAAAATTGTCTTTTCCTCCTTTTACAGCCATGATACATATTGAAGTTAATTTTGAGCTGTATGGCTTTAATGTTTTCAAAGACAGTGCTCAGCAGTTTTATTGTCTTCTTATCCATTTACAGTGCATGCGTAGGGAGTTGTACTGCTTAGACTGAGGATTCTAAAAGATAGCATAAAAATAGCTCTTCTGTCCTTCCTCCTAAGCCTTTCGTAGCCTAGAATCACAGAGCACCAAATTCACTCCTCCAATCCCCTGAATAAGTTGGTTTTATCTTAACTTCAAGAGAGCTTAAACCTTTTATTTGCTTTTCTCCTTAGAGACCTTAACAGTGTGAATTGTGATGAACTTGGACCTCTGCCTCCAGGCTGGGAAGTTAGAAGTACAGTTTCAGGAAGAATATATTTTGTAGATCATAATAACAGAACCACACAATTCACAGATCCAAGACTACATCACATCATGAAGTAAGGACCTTGCTTGATAAATAATTCATCACAAATGTGGATTCCTAAACTGTTTATTTGTGCTTAATTTTAAGAGTGTTTTGGGAGTTATGAGGGGTTGGAAGAAAAATGGAATCATAGGATCCGGGGGAATGGAGACACCTGGATGGGTCCCTGGGTAGGTCTAGTCAGGCTCTGAGCCTTGGTCCCCTGTGCTGGTTGCAGCTGATCTGCTCGAATTTGTGCAGTCTATTCAAAAATATTTTTACTGTGTTTTGCAATGCTCTGGTATAGGGGAGGACTTGTTTATCCCCACACAGGACAGATCTTAAGCTGGTTCCACTAAATTTCTATTATCTGCCTCGGATCTAATATGCTATTCTGGAGCCCAGATGCAGGGCTTTGAGGCAGAGGCCAGATGGTTCAACGCAGGCCTCTTGGCTTAGCAGTTGAGCTCTGTGCTAGCTCTGCTAGACCTGAACTACCTTCGTGCTGCAGTCAAGAGGAACGAGAAGCCACCTGGAGTCTGCTCTGCTGGCGCTCTGCACGGCCAGCCTGGCTGCATCCAGGCTTAAGAAGCTGAAGCTCTGCACGGTGCAGAGGCAGCTGAGCCTGGAGGCAGCCTGGGCTCCAGCCGAGTGGTCTCTGCATGATGCCAGCTGGGGAATCTCCGGATCTAACAAATAATTGATCCAATCCAAATATAGCACGGATAGATAAGGATAAATGAATGCATAAAGCTGTAACTATGTGGGACAAATATTCCTCTCGCTCTCAATAGCTGTGGATAAAATACATATTACTCTGTCCTGAGTCCTCTGCCTTATTTTTGCATGGAGTTGAAATAAAATTCATAGTGGTTGATGGATGATTGTTGTTTATAAAGCTGCTGTTCCATCAGAGAGCTGTTTTCATGTTATACTCCTGAAAGTTGTCTCCATGTCAGAGAAATACCCCAAAGGTTTCACTTACTGCTCCGTCAGCATTTGGTGACCATGCTCTGCAGTAACCAAGAGCGTCTTCCGCCTGTGCATTGCCACATAAAAGCCAAGCTGGGGGTTGCTGAGACTTCCTTGGCTTGTGTAAATGTCTCTGTTCCTTCCGTCTCTGTCTGAAGGGTAGCAATGGTATAGAAGTTACCCAGCTTAATTCTGTATTTCGCCCCGAGTACTTCAGAAGGAGTTTATACAATTCTTTCCATCACTGCTTTTTAAACCTGTCTTATTTTACTTTGAGAGTACACATTTTAATTCATTTACCTCATTTTCCTTCAAAGCCATCAATGCCAGCTAAAAGAGCCCAGCCAGCAGCCTCTGCCAGCTCCGAGCGAGGGGTCACTAGAAGACGGCGAGGAGCTGCCTGCACAGAGATACGAAAGGGACTTGGTGCAAAAACTGAAGGTTCTTAGACACGAGCTCTCTCTTCAGCAGCCCCAAGCTGGTCACTGCCGCATTGAAGTATCCAGAGAGGAGATATTTGAGGTATTTGATTGGCGTATGACTTAGGACTTGTAGCTTTTGCGCCTTGTGAGTTAAGTAAATCTGACCTCTGGTTATAGCGCCTATTAACGTAGGTGTTTTATTACCCTCAAACACATAGGTCAGGCAGATGAAAAACTGCTGCCCAAAGAGGCTTTCCAAGCATAATTTGGAGAATAGGTAAGAGTAAGGAAATAGCTACTTTCTCTGGATTCAGGTACTGAAAACACAATGCTGTGGGACTAAAGCCTGTTTTTTACCATTGTGTTTATTTTCTAAAGCTTCTGTGCCTGAAATGTGCCTGCAAGCAGCTGGATTGCATAAACTTTTGATAGTTTTGTTGTTGACTTTGGTTTTTTTTCTCATTTAGAAAGGGCAGCATATGAGAACTTAGATAGAAGGGCATCTGGTTGCTTATAATTACCACTTCTGCATTTAGGCATGTAAAGGTAATTGCAACAGGGAATTCCGCTGTTTTTGGAATGGATTACTTTCCGTAAGCTTTTATAGCAAAATGGAATTAAAGATACCATCTGATATTACAGAGGTGTCATTGGAACTTTAGATAAGCACTTTAGCAAAACAAATAATACTTTCATATTTGATTAACAATATGTATTATACATAAATCTACTTGGAAGGAAATAAAATGTCTAATTTGTTTCTATGCATATATAGGAATCCTACCGTCAGATAATGAAGATGAGGCCGAAAGATTTGAAAAAGAGGCTTATGGTAAAATTTCGAGGCGAGGAGGGCCTGGATTATGGAGGAGTAGCAAGGTAAGATCTGGTTTGTACCTCCAGCATTGTTTAACTGTAAAACTGCCCTTAAAGTGGCCTGTGGCTTTGGTAATTTGTGATCTAGTTTATCAGGAGTGGTCTGGGGTTCAGTCTTCATTTCCTAATAGATTGGAAAGTGGAAGGATGTGACTTAAAATGTATCTCACAGCCCTTCAAAAGCTCCTACCAAATGTTTTTATATACTTTGGATTTGGGGGTGTTACTGGTTGCAATTAAAGTTGCTCTGTATTTAGCACCATTGTACACCCAGAGAATGCAGAAGGCTTGTTTAGGATATGGGATTGATCTTGTTGCAGAAAATGCTGCTTTCAGCAACAGGATCTTGTGGAGCTGAAACTGAGCATATAGTAAAAACTAAATCCCAGGGGAAGTTTTGTTGAATTCACCTGTCAGATTTCCAGCAAAAGACAAGAAAAGGAGAAAGATTCCTCTTTCCTTTGAGAGCTGTAATCTGTTGGAATTGGAGTCAAACTAATCCTAAACAAAGTTTAAAATTTAGAAAACTTTGTTCTTCTTAAAAAATAATGATAGACCTCTAGGAGTTACATCACATCCAGAGAAAGCTCTAGACTGAAATACCACCACCGCCAAAACACTCCTCTTTAGAGCACTTTAGGAGCATCTCCTAAATTCACTGGGTGATTTCTCAAATCCACAAAAGCTGCATTGCCAGGGTAGGTGTCTTTCTGAAACCCATCTCTGGACAAAGGAAAAAAGTTGGATCGTTTTGAGCTGCTTTATCCAGGGCAACCTGGAGTGTCTCTGCTGTTAACATCCTTACTGCCCTGATGGCTTTACTAATTGCCCATCTGTTGCAAGAGGCTCTTTAAAATGAGGACAGCTCCATTTGAAAGCATGAAAGTTCCTAGTTCTCAGAGCATTGTACTGCAGCCCTTACATTGGATTTCCTTGACAAACTTCAGTAATAAAGGGGAGGTGGATACGGCTTCAGTTCCACTCCTGTCCACGGATATTACGGAGCTCAGGGAACATACCTGACTGTTAATGGGTCTGGTTTCTCAGGCCCTTTTGGCCTCATTAGCTACAGAGATTTTCTAGTCATTGAGCATTTACTGAGAAGCATATTTTTTAAAAGATCTCTCCAATGTTTGAACTAGTTTTAAACAACAGAAAGGTTCTTGTTTGTTTTAATAATCCTTAATAGTATAAAGGTTGCAGAGGAGCAGATCTCTTGGACTCTAAATATCTGTATTCTGTACAAAGTCAAGGCTTTTGGAAAAAAGATCTTGTTCACACTTAAGTTGTTTTTTGTTAAGCAGGGCTCTGATAACATTCAGGGCATGGGCTGCAATTTAAGGTAATACAAAGTTATTTTATTTGCAAAGGAAAATTCCTGTTAACTGCTGTCTGTATTGGTGGTTCACAACAACTGTGTTGTCTGACACATCAGTGCAATTTGCATTCTTCTAAAATACTGCTTTTTTGGCAGAGAATGGTTGTATTTACTGTGCCATGAAATGTTGAATCCCTATTATGGGCTCTTCCAGTACTCTACAGATAATATTTACATGCTGCAAATCAATCCAGACTCTTCTATTAATCCTGTAAGTATTAACTTCTGAGCAATGTACCTGCTTTAACAGAGGGTCTGTGCAATCCTCTTTGCTACAGCTCCTCTCCCATTACAGGAGAGTCAACAGACATGGAAGTGGAATAAGAATGTGTTAATGAATCCTCTATTGATATAGTGCCGAGTAGAGGATTTGGAGGTTTTTTCTTCTTACTGGAGCATTTGTATCGATGCAGACCCTCAGAAGCAGCAGCAGTTCTATAGTAGTACAGCTGAATATTTTCGGCTGAATTTCTTCAAAGGTCATTAATTTGCTCTGTAATATGGGAGGATAAATTGGGGGAATCTTGACCATAGCAGTTAAACTGGTTTTTGAAAACTGAAGCATATAAACAGCATTAACGGCATGTGATTGAAAGATGTATGTTGCCTATTTCTTCTAAATTACAAAAAAATATTTTGATTATTGAATATTCGGATATTTTGAAAGTATGGTGGTTAAACAAAGAATAAACTGCATCTTTGTTTGCATTGACCTGTCTTGGATTGCCTGGGTTTTCGTTTTCCTGCGCTTGACCCCTTGGAAGGTCTAGAGGACCTGCCTCTAATATATTAGCTAGCTAATGCACGGACGTTTGTTTGAGGTGTTTAATCATTAAATGTTTCTGCTCCTCGCTGTGCTGTGAGGAGAACTTGTGGCTCTGCATGCCCAGAGCCTTGTAGATACTTGCAGACACAGCCGCAAGATGTCAGTGTTGGAGCATCTCTTCGGTGCCTGACCCTCTCCCCTCTCTTTCCACAGGACCATTTGTCTTATTTCCATTTTGTTGGTCGGATAATGGGTTTGGCTGTGTTCCATGGACACTATATCAACGGGGGCTTCACGGTTCCCTTTTACAAACAGCTTCTGGGGAAGCCCATTCAGCTCTCTGATCTGGAATCCGTTGACCCAGAGTTACACAAAAGTTTAGTTTGGATTTTGTAAGTATTGCATTTATCCTTTCCTAGCTATACAGAAGATGGGCTTTGAGTATGTTGGCAGTAGTGAGACAGTGCTGTAAAGAGAACGTTTGCAAAAATCCTGCAATGGAGCAGATCTGTACAAAGTTGCTGCACTACTATTTCCATGCTAAATAATTCCAAGGTACTTGAGGAAAAGTCCTTTCACAAATGGAGCTATTTGTTAGCCCTCTTTGCTGTAGATAAATAGATAAATGTTGTACATAAATCAATAAATATTGCATGGGTGCGGTGGAGTATCCCACTCAAAATGCCAACCCAGGACAAAGTTCCAAGGAAATACAGACGTGTTCAAAGAGCAATGATGCAGGTCAGGCACCAACTTTGATTGAAATGGCAGAATTCAATCAGAATTACTCTGGGCTGCTCTAAAACTCTACTACTCAGAACAAGATCTGGCAAATTTTCGGGGTGTGTTTGGAAGGTTTCCCTTTTGGTTTGCAAAATCATCAATTCTTTTCCCTAAAAGCAGTTTTAATTTTTGTCTTAATGGTATTGATGCTGCTAAAATTTTCTAAGTGATGAATTTACCAGGTAGCAAATCAGCTTATTGCTGTATATGTATGTGTGTGTGTGTAGATAGTATTTAATTCATTCTTTATGAGTGGTGCATAATACTAGGATTAGTGAAGGAAAAAGAAAAGATGGCATATGTTTGAACTCTTCAAAATGCATTAAACTATGCAAAAATGATGATGTAGAATCATTGTTTTAGCGGTTGGGAGAATTGTAGATGGATGGCTGCTGGGTTCATTCCAAAGACTAAGCATTCATATAACAAAATGCCCGGATGACTATTGATATTAATCTAAATATCAAAAATAAAAGCCTAATTTTCTGACTTTTCATTGCCAGAGAGAATGATATCACCCCAGTTTTGGACCATACTTTTTGTGTGGAGCACAATGCCTTTGGAAGGATTTTACAGCATGAACTCAAACCAAATGGCAGGAATATTCCAGTGACAGAAGAAAACAAGAAGGAATATGTCAGGTATTGCAGAGTGGAAAAAATATTCTGCAAACGTAGTGGAAAGAAGGTAGTGAACAGATGATTTTTTATTTTTTTTAATAGAGTGGAATTAATGAAATCAGTATTTCAGAAGGAAATACCTGACTCAGGAATTACATGACTATTCTCCCCCAGCAGACTGCTATAAGACTTGGGAAGATTATTTTAAGTTGTCATTTTTTTCCTTCGCTTTTCTGTTGATGGTGCAAGAATTAACTGTTGATGGAAGAAAAGAACTAGTAAGCACTTCTTATAAACCAAAATGTGTATATTAAGCTTAACTCTTCTGTAAAATAGGTGTTTTCCAACTCTGATATAAAAAAAAAAAGCCCAGGCTCATTTATCTCATTACCCCTATTTACTTTTTTATTTTCTAGGCTGTATGTAAACTGGCGATTTATGAGAGGAATAGAGGCACAGTTCCTGGCTCTGCAGAAGGGGTTTAATGAACTTATTCCTCAACATCTCCTAAAGCCTTTTGACCAGAAGGAACTTGAGGTATGTACTTCATTCAGTTAGAATGTTCTTTTGTAACCTGTGTGACTGGTAAGCAAGAGCTGATCAAGAACCCAAGTTATTACAGTTTATGTACCGAAGTGATTAGGTGTTTAGTCTCGTGCCCATCCTTTTAATTATTGCATCTGGGAGAGAGATTGAGGTAGTATGTCCTGTCTGTGCCAGAGTCTCTGACATAGATGCAAACTGCTCGGTAGTTTTTGTCTCTTGGAGTACAACAAATCAAAACAATTTGGGGATAAACTAAGTAGGATTTGGTGGTAGCTGGGATTGGCACCTCCAGAGAAAGCCCGTGGTGGGGAAATGYTGCTGTGCGCAGCTTGGTAGAGGGCACCCTCACAAAGACAAGTTATACTACATATAGCTTTGTATATATACAAAGCTGCACTTTTCAGGTAAGATAGATTTTAAAAGCAGGCATGCAGGAGCTCTTGACTAATTTCTTGTGAAAAATTATATTCTGGTAAGTGTACTTCTCTGCCGAAGTTTCACTTCAGTTTAACTGAAGAGAGGTAGCTCTTGTGCTGAGCTATTCTGCAGCATTTCTGTGAACCAAAAAGGAGGTTAAAGCGTGCAAAGAACGTTACACTTCATTAAAGAGTTTGATGTATGTTGTTATAGCAGCAAACGTGAAATGGCTTTGAATGTTAAAACATTTTCTCACCCTTTAACAGCTAATCATAGGCGGCCTGGATAAGATAGACCTGAATGACTGGAAGTCAAACACACGTCTAAAGCACTGCATGGCAGATAGCAATATTGTAAAGTGGTTCTGGCAAGCGGTGGAAACGTTTGATGAGGAAAGAAGGGCCAGGCTGTTGCAGTTTGTGACGGGGTCGACACGTGTTCCACTCCAAGGTTTCAAGGCTTTACAAGGTGACTGATGAGGAGGCCGAGCTAATCCGCAGTGGGAGAAAGTGCTAAAAATTGTGTGCTATTTACTAGACCCTAGCAGAATATCAGTGTGTTGCTGGATAAGCCAGCTGCTTAGTGGTTTTGATCCCAAGAGCAGCTTTACGTTTGTCGGCAGCTCTCCTGGCGAGGAGCACTTTGCTCATATCACTAYATGAGCTGGCAAATCTGTCACCACGTAGCACTTTGGCTGCTGTCAATATTAGCACGTGGGTCTCTTACAATGGTGGGGACTGATGTTGTGAAAAACACGGCATGTAAGTGCACGCCTGTTTATAGAGCTGACCAAACAACTTCCTTGCACATGAAAATTGCGCTGCGTTATTTGGCAACAAACCTTTAGACTCTATGACAAGTTCTCCAAAAACTGTGATTTTGCCATCAGAAAAGCTGGCAGTTGTAATTCTCCTGATAATGTTCTATCTGGCTCACCATCAACTCCATCTTGCAGATTAGAATATATAGTTCTGTTTTACAAGGGAGGCTGCTTTGTACTAAAGTCTCTTCTTTTTTAGAAGGGGCAGCTTTGTTAACATAAACCTCGCTGTTTTCTAAGCTGTAATCTGCAAGCTCTTTGTCATCAGCAGCCCCCCACTTCTGTCATCCCTTCATCAGCTCCAAAGCTGATGTGCAGATCTGGCTGTGGCAGGCTTGTGTTTGCAGCTGGAACTGTAATTTTCTCTTGTATTTTTCTAAGTAGCATATTCTGTGTGCACGAATGGGGTTTCGCTGAAGTGCATTAACTAGAATGTCTGTCTGCAAGGTTCTACAGGCGCTGCAGGACCCAGACTGTTTACCATCCATTTGATAGATGCAAACACAGACAACCTTCCGAAAGCCCACACTTGGTAAGATGAAAACACTCTGCACGTCAGAGCTTGCTTTCCTTTCCTCTTGCTTTAAAGTACACTCAGCTCTGTGGGTTCTGGTTATGGATTAGCTGGGTTACAAGTGTAAGTGTATCCGAGCGGACTCTGCTAGCTCTGCTCGGCAGGTAGCAGTCTAATTAACTTATAGTTTGATTTGGCTCCTGCGTTGTCTCTGGTTTTGGCCTATCACAAGGTTGATTATTTTGGACAGCAAGATGTTTACAGGATGTGTTTCCATGTGTTCCAGCAAAAGCATTGACCAATAAATGACTTTTAGCAATGTGTATCCTTTTTTTTTTTTTTTTTGAATGAAGTGCATAAAAATGTCATCATACTTCTGCATCCAGAATGATGAGAAATACCTTTCAGCTCTAGCATTTAGGAGAGGTGAGTTATTGGTAGAGTGTAAGCACAGCATTAAGTTCCTGTATAGATGACACACTCCAGCAGGGACAGGGAACCACTTCAGGAGAGGCACAGATTTTCTGCAGGCAGAGAAGGCAGCAGCTCTAGCTGATCTGCCCTCCTTCCGTCCCTCGAGCCCCCAAACTGCCCTCATTCCTTCCAGCTGCCTCAGTGTGGCTGCTTTATCTCATCCCCATCACCTATAAAGGTGGCTCGTGCTCTTTGCCAACGCTCCTACCAATTTTACCTGTATGTAGCCGATGCAAATATCTTTCTGCAGAGATATTTCAGACTCATCCGCTGCCATGTGCTGTTATTTTGCCTCCAGCTTTAACCGGATCGACATTCCGCCTTACGAGTCGTACGAGAAGCTTTACGAGAAGCTCTTGACAGCTGTGGAAGAGACCTGTGGCTTTGCCGTGGAGTGAAAAAGCAACCAAAGGAAACAGATGCTAGCTCATGGACCACCAAATCAAAAGCTAGAAGAAGCTTGCTGTGAACTTCCTGCTAAGCTGTCTGAATCATTGGAACTCTAGACAACTTAGAGCCGGGTTGTTTCCCTTCCGTTGTTGGTGGATGAGGGTGGGGGTAGGGGCTTTTGTTGGTGGTTTCCAACTGTCTTTTCTCCCCTTTGTTACAATATCCCCTTCCCCTTTCCTCCATCCCCCATAAAAAGAAACGCAGCCAAGTTCAGCATTTGGCCTTGGTTACACGGGATATTCTGCTAGATTTGTAACACATATTGTGATAGGGTCAGTGACCTGTGGGTTTTTGTTTTTTTTTTTTTTTATTTTAAATAGGAGAATCAAAGTGTAGTTGAGAATGAGCTTGATTTGTGGAGGACCTGCGGCTGGTGTAGGTGGACGGGGTTGGTTTGTCTTAAATCAAGCTTGAGCCCTCRTCGAGCCCAGCAAGTGCTGCGTGGCTGACTGGCACTAGAGTTCACATTGCACATTTTAAACACCCGTTTAAAAAGCAGATTTCTAGCAGAAAAAAACCCTCCATGTGAACATTAAACTCAAAGGCAAAGAAATGACGTTCTGCCTTAGCAGGAAGCTCCCAGTGAAACCTGTGGCTCACGTTAAGAAAAGTGAAGGAATCTGGGACAGCTTAAATGGTATCGTGTGATTTCTTTTTGGTTGTCCTGGTTAAACTCTAATTGTTTTGCACATGAAAACAGTGTTTCCTCCTGCAGATTTGCTTTCCATGGTCTGTTCATATTTAAGTACCTTGCAGACAAGCCTTTTAAGGAGGAGTCAAAGGACAAAATCAATCCCAAAGCTGTGATTTCTGTGCCACTGTTTTATCTGAGATGCGTTTGTGTGATTTGAAATTCCGAGACTCACGTGGATAATTGCTAAAAGCAAAGTGAACAGAACGAAATTCTGTTCTGAAGTTTTGGGTCTTAGGAAAGGTTTATTTGGAGGATAATGTAAAAGGATAACTGTATAGTGAGTACATTTAAAATGTAATGTARAGCTATTGGAAGGACTTGTGACTTCAGTTCTGGAAGGATCACGATTTTTCCAGAGAGCCACATAAGGCGACTTTTTTTTGAATATCTGAAACTAATATTAAGAGGTTTGTTCTCTAACACGTCGCTAAAATGACTTCCCGGGGAAACAAAAGCGAATCAAATACCTGAATCACTAACAATTTCTTCCAGTTTGCACACCATGGTAAGACAGTATTTTAATAAATAACACGACTTTAGAAAGACCCAGTTATCTATCAAACATGTCTAAAACTAAGCAGACTTGCTTGTATAGGATGTTTCTTCTTTGGCAAGCCTGATTTTTAGAGAGTTATTACTGAAACATTTAACAGATGTCATGTTTATGGAACAGTGCATTGAAATTCAGCTGTGGGTAAGAAGTTGTTCTTAGAAGACGTCGACTGGAATACTTTCTATTTTGTCTTTTTTTAATTGAATTTGATAATAGCTTTAAACTGTGATAGGACAGAAAGTTAGATACTCGTCAAGATCCTGACATCTTTCTCTTTTTGTTTTTCCATTGACCATGGTTCCTGTGATTGGATGTGGGGAGGGAGGATTGCATTGGAGGCGGAAAATTGTACCACACTGTGAGGTTTGCACAGGGAGGCTAAAGAAGATGCTCGTACTGCAAAACTAAATAGGAGAGACTTATTTCGACCCGTGTTCTGTAGGAATCTTCTGGCACTCGGGGACCAGTTTCTGCAGTACTGGTGATGGGGACGGAAAGGAAATTGTGCGACTCTGCTGCAGCAAAGAGAGAAAAAGCAGCTGTCTGCAGATGACCGACTGTGCAGCCTTGGGCTGAGGAGCCAAATTCCCCTTGTCCCGGCTTTCCAAAACGGCTGCAAAGTCTTAATTGTCATAGAGTGCACCTAATCCTTTCAGTACGCTGGAATGTGCAATAAACCAGTCAGATAGGAAAAATCCAAAATGGATTATCAMCCGAAAGTGTTTTTGTTTTTCTCTTCACGCAGGCTTATGTGGAATTTTTGCTAAAGGAGTTTAGAAAACAAATACTGAAACCCACCACTAACAAAAATCCTATCGCACAAGCTCGACATGCAGCGCAACTGGCTCTGTAAAAAGCAAGCGAGGTGAAGGTAAAGAAAAGCGTTTGATTCTGAGATCTATAGGTCAAGTAGCTTTATGTCAATGACCCAGTTGACATAAGATAGTTCCTAATGTCTTTGCTAGGTCAGTGTTTTGTTGAATGCACAAAATAAGAATAGGCAAGGATTGTTGTTTTGAAAAGTCCGTATGTTTTTTGCTGTATTTAAAAGCCCTTGTCAAGGTACCTCCTCCATGCTGACAGTAACGAGAGTAGGGCACTGTCTTTTTAATKACTTTAGTTCTCCTTTAAAGTGCTTCACCACTTCTCCCATCGTGTTGTCTTGCAATTTTGTGCCACTTCAGTGCTGATGAAGACTTTTTTTTTTTGTATTCTGTACGTGCATTTGAGGCAGGCCTTAAAGCTGGTTGGATGGACGGAGAAAATAAAGCAGCGAGGTAGTATGGGTTTTAAGTGATGATTTGTTCTTCTCGCAACTGGTTTCAAGGCCAGAGAAGGATAAAATGCAGGCGGGTGCTCGCCAGGCTGCCCATCCTGCGAGGGGTCGGGGCTGTTCTGCTAAGCTCAGCTCCCACGTGTCCGTTCCCATCTGCTCTGAACTGGTCAGTCTTTCCCAAGCTTGCCCAAAGAGGAACCTGGAAAAGCCTGGGTCTCTTTTAGTCCTGACACGCTCCACCTTGTACGCGGAATCGTCGTGGATCGGACCCRAAGGGAACGCAAGGTACCACGCGTCTCTTGTTCTAAAGGCAAACCCAGAAAGTGCCGCGGTGGCCCAGACGCCCAGGCCTTGCCCTGGTCCTGCTCATCAGCCTATTCCATATGCTCAGGGATGTGGGAGACCACCACTCTGCTTGCGTGTAAAAGCGGGAAGAAAGGAGACTGTCGTGAGTGTTAGCGTTCGCGTGGGCATTACATGAGACRAGACCCTGTTTGCAAAAGGCTGCTTGAAGCTCCAGACGCTGCCGTCGGAGTTTGCAAGGCGAGGCGGTTSACGAAATCCAGCAGATTTTGTAAAGGAGCGATCCGGCCGCCGTGCCCTCCGTAGCCGGTGCCCGGGTTCAGGGCCGCGTGGCACTGCAAGGTCCCCGAGACACAGTATGGATCTGTTTTTAATTGGTTCATTTTTGTTCCTCAACCACTTTATAATGTATTTTTTTTTAATTTATTATTTTGTAATGTCATGTTTAAGTATTGCTGCTATCCTTGTTATTCTTCCCACTGTTTTTATTGCAGATTTATTTTGTGAAAGTTGTACACTAATGTTTCATTTTATGTCTAAATCAAAGTATTTAAAGAAATACTAGTTCTATTTAATGTGGTTATGGAACCAGCTGGAATAAACAGTGATTGTATAGTAGGCTGGACCCAGGAGGTCATGTTCATTTTTGTTACATATGCAATAAACTCACAACTTTAAACTCTTGCTATCCACCATTTCATTTGTTTCAGGAGAACTTGATTAGTCATCACAAGGGAAAGATTAATGCTGAAGAAGCCGCTTTCCTGGACCTCTAATTTCTGTAATTAGGGATGTGTTGCAAGTGACTGCAGGGCAGGGGGGTTGCCGGCCCCGTGCCCGGCAGGAGCTGCGAGGCTTTGGGGCAGAAGGTGCTTTGCAGGAGGAAGGGAGGCAGGTGGAAGGGAGGSCTCCAACAGAGCCGCCTTCCCGTGCACCTGCACCCGGAGGGGTCGCCTGGCCCGCAGAGATCGGATTTGTCCCTGCTGTCCCCTTGCAGCTCTTCCCATCCCTTAGTTTCTGTCCTTTTCCGCATTTTCTCATCCTTTTTTTCTTGTCCTTTTGCATCTCTTCTCATTCCTTTGCAGCTACTCTTGTCATTTTGCATCYTTGTCTTCTTTTGGTTTATTTGTAATTTGCTTTTTTTTTGGCTTTTCTCATCCCTTTTCTTCTTTTCTTGCTTTCCTTGGCCTTTTGGCCTTTTGGATCTGCATCTCGTTTAAAATCCTGACCGCTTAAGCGAAGCGGCGGCTGCCTTGGGGCAAGGCAGGAGGCACAAACCCTTCCTTGGGCACGAGCAGCGCCCGGCTCCCCTYCAAACATCTGTGCCGGGGGCCTTATTTTTCCCAGCCGTGCAGAATTCCAGGAAACGGCGTAAGAAACATGAGAAAGCACAAGGCGCCTCCGTTCTGTAACTTTTATTAGAGCCTGGCTGGTGGCAGCTTTTTCCCGGTGGGATTTTCGCCGTGCCAGCCCTGGGRTTTGGGGAGATGCAAGGGGGGCTCCTTGCTCGCGCCTGGCCGGGGCAGCTGGCGCCCCGGGATCGTTTTTGCCACGGGGAGCGGGGAAAATTGGCCTTGTTGTGCCCTGAGCGGATGGGCCGCTTTGCAGCCCAGGTCGCAGAGCCCCGGGAAGGGGCCGGGGGCTGCCGYGGTTCTGCTCCATGCGGGTCCTGCTGGGACCCTTGGGGTCCTGCGGCCCCTCCTTGGGTCCCCCAAGCTGGGTGTCCCCATAGGGGAACCTGCACCCCCTCCGGCATCCTCAAGG